TGTGAAATATATAGTGAAGAAAGACATTTTTGTACTGTCCACTTCTGTCCACATAAAGGAAATATCAAAATGACTGAGGAATTTTATCTAAGTGAGATATCAATATTTTAACAGTTGTCCACCAAGCAGGAAAACATTTTAAAGTAGCCAATACACATTTTTGTCAACTTGTAATTAGATAATCAGTTAAAAGAAAATAGATTCTAGGACAATATTATTCATCTCTTAAACATTCCCTTAAACAAATATTACTAAATATAACGTATATATGCATATATATATGTACACCAATCAGCCATAACATTATGAGCACTGACAGATTAAGTGAATAACACTGATTATCTGGTTATCATGGCTCCTGTGAGTGGGTGGGATATATTAGGCAGCAAGTGAACATTTTGCCCGGGGCAGCGAGAGGATTTGAGTGACTTTGGCAAGGGCCACATTATGATCGCTGGACGACTGGGTCAGAGCATCTCCATCCTGCAGCTCTTGTGGGGTGTTTTCGGTCTGCAGTGGTCAGTACCTATCAAAAGTAGTCCAAGGAAGGACATTATGACAACCAGGGTGTACATACATATACATATATATATATACATATATATATACTCTTCCCTGTTCTGAACTGATGCCCTCATCTGCATGAGGACATCATTTGTCAGTGCCATCCAAATCGTTACAAATCACTTTTATGATGTGATGCTATACTTAAAGAGGACCTATCTTGCTTTTTTTAGTTTCTGTTGCAATGTCATAACGTTACAATTATGGATGCTCTTAAACTTGATATTAAACTTGTCAAATAATGAGGTAAATGTATGTAAAAGTAATTCCTGCTGCTTTGAAAGCAACGTAAACAGTTGCTCTTATTAGACAGATTTACTCCTAAAATACCATTCAATAAATCTCTGTCTGTCTAAAAAGTCTGCACAGACATTGAACCATCAATGGTATTAGATAACTGACCAAAAGACATGGTGAACCAGAATGATGTTACTGAAATCAAAAATAGCCTTTATTTTATTTTATTAATAAACTTATTGAATTGTTAATACAAATACAAATAACCAGGCAAATTTATAACAATACAATAGAAGAAGAAGAAGAAATCTACATTTTTGGAGAAAGCTGAAATTCAAAATAATTCGGACTTGACATTGCCAATTCATAGATCAGAGACTGTGTTTCTCAGTGGCAGTTTAGAAGATTCATATTTTGGCTAAGAGCTGATTAGATCCACCCAATTAACTGAATTTATTCAAAAAAAGTCAACAGTATCACACGTTTATAACAAGACAAATTTAACGAACATCAGGTTTAGAATTGAACGAGTTACAGTCTGCCTCACTCAGTATTGAGTTGCTTTGTTTCTGTGGAGAAAACACTGTAAGAAATAAACATTTTTACAAGTTAGTTAGCATAATAAAATAAAATGTTCCTATTTAAAATGTGTAAAACTAAAATGAGAGGTAAATTAGCACGATGCTGCTGCACATAGAAAACAGAAAAATAAAACAAATTCAACTGATGTCATCCAGCAATAAAGAGATTCATTCAGATGTTTCTCATTTTAGACAACAAAAACATTTTTTTATAAGGTCATTTTCACACTTTGGATCATAAATATTTTTAGAAATCATGCACTACTTTGTAACTAGCTTCAGTGTACATGTAGTTGTAGTACATGTTCAAGAGAAAACACACCACCAAAAAACAGAAA